TTGCTTATATGCCTGCTTTGTCATATTATCAGAGAGTATATCATCGATTAAAACACTGAAATAAATTCATAAAATGAAGCACAGATAACAGTAGTACTGGATTGGAAACAGGATTCCGGTGGCTGCAGTAAGAGGCCGAAAACAGAACCGAATATATCGTGCCCATATTTCGATATCTCCTCTCACAGGCAACAAAAAATATTGGTTTATGTGAATGAAACTTATAAAGAAGCAATCGACTAGCCGTGCTCGTGTTTATTGCTGCATTTTTGCATAATGGCAACTTATTTTACTAAACGTTGCTGGTTACACTTTCCTCACCGTGGTGAGGGAACGTATGCCACTGATTTGATTATGATTTCTCACTCTCATCCACAAAAAGTACTTGTACATACATGGGAGTTTGATCTCTTTATTTACATGCTAATCGATACCAGTCCTGTCACAACGAACCATCCAAACGTCACGATTCAAACCAACGTCACAAAACACCCCTTCAAGTGTCACTTCGCTTCGCCTGCCCTCCCAATTTCATCAGCGACCTTACTTCCCCGCCTTACATCTTCTTGACCCTGCTGAGCTTTGGCCTCTTGTCGGTCCTCGATCGGGTTGCACCAGTGGCTGGGGTGTCTGCTTCCTGACTTTCGATGGACAGCACTGTCTTGAGTGTCTGTCTCACTTATCAGTTACCATGTTTCCACACTTTCCAGCAAATAGATTGAAGACCGTCGCATACATCTCTGGAAGGAGGCTCCTAAGGACGTCGTGGCTATCATTGTAAACGACTTCCGGTCAGTTCGACATCTCGGTTTACGACTATCTTCGTCACTTCTGCGTCACTTCTTGGTTGATCGCAGACCAGCAGCTGGTTCCTGTTAGCTTCCGTCTTCGGCAGTTGCCTCCAAATCTGGCAGATCCTCACGGTGAGGTCGATGTCTTCCTTGTCTGAATGAAGTTGTGAATGAAGATATTTGCTTTAAAAGAAATTAGGTGCAGATTTGGTCAAATCAGGTGCATTCGCCGGATAGCCCGTCGTGAAAACGGCTAATCCCAATTATATAGGGTCAGTCACCAGCGCGGGAGCCAGTTTCTGTTTTAACTACTCGACTTCTACCCCTCGCTCCCCGCGGGCACATGGCCACTCTCTCTTCCATGGCCCGAAGCGTTCCTGGATGGTGTGGGAGTGCGCGAGTTTATAGTCTCAGACGTGCAGGATGTGGAGGAAACTAGTGTGGCCTCGAACCCGAACTCGAGGGAACCCGAGCCCGTGGCCGAGTCAATAAATAGTGTTGTGGAGGACGCAGCAAACCACTGCCAGAAATGTAGGAACTTACACCACCTTTTTCATTTCCTTGGGAAAATTAAAATTGCCAGCTGTGCAAATCAATAGGCTGCACAGAGACGTGCGTGCAATATCAAGAAGCGTTGAAGTTCAGAGGTCTTCCTAGGAAGTCTTTTTCGTGATTGCCAACGAGAATCCTACATGACAAGTGGACGCGCCTGAGAAGCCCGTTTTTGTACGACACTGGAGGCAAAGCTCCCTACAACGCTTCACGGGAGCTGTCACAAATAAAACAACCGTACTGCACGACACTAAAAGCAAAACTTTCTACACAGGCACTGTCACAAAGAAAATAACCACACTTGAAGACGATTGAAACAAAACTGCCTACACACTCACACAGGCAGGCCATAAATGAAACTGCACCGGACGGCAAAACCTGACACACAGACGCTGTCACAAATACAACAATGAAAAACAACAATGAATGCACAAAAATGAATAATATAATGTACAACAATAAACCGTACTGGGCGGCAATGGAAGGAGAGCTATCCACAAAGGCGCTGTCGATAGGGCCATGGACGGCATTAGAAGTAAAACTATGCACTCAGGCGCTGTCACATAGACGTGAAAGCAATGAACCACAGTGAAGTGGAGGGTGACCACTAGACATGTGTGTGGATCTGACGGATCTAGCTTTCTCACATGTGGCTAACGACGTCATTAGTATTAGTGACGTTTCGTAGAATTTCGTCGTCATGTGGAGGTCGATCTTGCAGCAGTACCCCACCATCACACTAATTTCGGGCGCGATCCGCCGCGCTAGCTTATTACTACAAACGCAGGGGCATGCAATGTGCGTAAACGAGTGCATCCCTCTCCTGCGCTTTGAAGGAGCACGTACATTTGGTGTGCCTGTTGGTGTGCTGCACAGTGCACACGCCCAAATTGAGCCAAATCGGTCGACCTGCTGCCACGATATTGCAAAACCACACTTCTGAGCACTTTTAATAGTGGCACTCGCTTTGTATCTCTATGGTGAAGCGCGACTCGAAACCACCTACATTTGTTCGGTAAAACTAGGGCTGTGTCGGTGGCCAGTGGGCCATCTGATACCAAAGACCACTGGTAGATCGGTCGAGTGGTCACGGCGATTGGCTCTCGAAGCGTGACGGGTCGGACAGGCCGTTTATTCTGTGGTTTTCCCATAAAACATACATTTGCTTGCTCATTCGTCTCGCTCATCGCTCGCTAAGTAGCCCACGGCCGTATTCCGTACATAGCTTCCCAGATGCGAGGGAAAATAAGTCCTCCACAAGACACTGTAGCGTTTCCAGCATTGCAGCGTTGCGTCCACGAGTTCTCACAAATGAGCATCAAATTTGACCCTTTAATATAACTATGTTGGCCGTGCATGGCTGGTCAAAGGTTGAGCCCGTAGAAGTTTTCTCATAGAAGCTCTCCCATTTCTCTTTCCTGTAGAAACGGCAGCTTGTAGGGGAAGCCGGTATATTCCGATTCCATCAGCTCTTTAGTCATTCAGAACTACAAAAACCACGAATATAGTGAGTTTTACATTGTTCTGCAAAATAGGTAGGTACTTTTTATAATTAAGTCTACCAAAAAAAAAAAACGTATTGACATGTCATACCTTTGCGTAGAGTTTACATATTGTCAGAATCACCAGTCAGGCCACATTTACCCCGTTACGTACCGAATGGCGTTACGTACCGAATGGCGTTACGTACCGAATGGCGTTACGTACCGAATGGCTTGTGACTTAAAGGTTTAAATGACTTTTGAAGCAAATACCTCGACTTCAAAATAATGCGTAATTTAGGGCAGCTTTGTTTCATTAGAGCAAAGCTTTATTGTTTTGAAATGAAGTAAATGGGTTCTAATTGTTTTTGACGGCCACTTGCAGTGCCTACTGTGCGCGCCTTTCTCTTGTTACGCAGCCGGCGTGCGGTGGGCCCCTGCTGAGGTGTGACATTGTGCCACGTCAACTGCACGATGTTGTGCCACCGGCGCTCGGCTTCGTTGATTGCAATGCGTAATCGCCTGCCTCTTTCCAGTGAGAATCAACGATCCGTGAGTTACCAGCGTGTTACATCATTTGTTGCTGCAACTGCGATAAAATCTACAGTGATTTCTGACTTCCGTTTCACGTGGCGTAGATCAAGCAAGTCTTATCTCACATAATCGTGATTAAGCGTAAAAATCGTGGCCATGAAATGGAAATTTCAGCCGAGCTGCACCAAAACAAATACCCGCCGCGGGGCGGCGCATGGCCGTGCCCCACTGCTGATTGAGCCGGATCCAGTGACAGGTCAAACCCAGCCGCCCGTCACCGGAAGACCCCGGATCGTCCCTGGGTCGGTCGGTACAGTATTCGCGCTGATTGCGGGCATTTCCGGCGCGGCCGTGACGTAACGCACCACGGAGATAATAGCGGCGACGACGAGGGCAGGCACCGTGACAGTGTTGGCGCATTGTTCCACCACCGCCGCTCCGTCGCAATGCCCCGCACACTTTCTCCAGGTCACGCATCTGAGTCCGGGGGGGCGACCCCCGGGAGGCCGGTCGACCTTTCACCCCGCGGCGGGTTGACTTTGACACCGTCCACCGTCCCCCGGGGCATTGTGGGCTCGGTGTCGCACGAGACAGGCGGTGTCTGTCCAGTGGTGGTCAGAGGTGTGCTGGACTCTGCGTGTGCGAATCAGAGTTCAACTAGTCATCACGAGCCGACCTCACTTTGGATAGGACACTTCTAACGAGGTAAGATAATCCAGCAACGTGACCTCCGAGGCCACATATACGTTATATGTGGTGTGCACGTGTGAACGTTAGGGTGCATTGTCCTTCCAGATTGTTTTAAACTAGCCGTGGAAAAAGTGCAAAGGTCAAAGGCCATCGAGGTCATGAGTTATTAGTGATCGCCGAAGCGATTTGAAACTAGCTTTCTCTCCCAAGTGGCTTCGCGCTATGCTAGCGAGAAGACGTTTCCGTTGGCTGGCATCTGCTACCGACCACATGGTCTTAGCGAATCCATGAACGAGAAATTTTGGGCGATAAAATAGCAAATGTTAAATTTTGTTTCAAAAGTACCAATGAATGTCTCAGTTGCGCTGCAATTACAGGCGTAAAAATAAGCATAGAAACGTGTAAAAAGGGCGTTTATACATTACGTCCGTCATTGCAAAATATGATCATTGTGACAGTTCTTAGACCGTTTCTCCATTTTTATTTCCGTATTTATAACGTTAGCTATCATCGCTTTATTTCATGGCGCTAAATTTGTTGAGAAGTGCTGGAATTGCTGGCATGAAAACAGCTTTCCTAAGGATGCTAAACACCATGCTACGATAAATTGAAAGTCGCTTTAAACAATCGGATCATTAAAGAGGGACAAGGCAGAATTTGCCGCTCCTTAATTCTAGCCAACCCATCCGCATTTGCATTTATCCCCAGACATTTACAGTAATCCCTCTTAAATATGTTTATAATATTGGGCCTAATATTAGGTCATGGTGCTGGTTTTCTGGCTGGTTTTGGCAAAGAATAATCAATAATTTATCAGTAGCGATCATCAAATTATCGTCCTGGCGTTGGTACCTGTGTAGCGCATTCCGTAGGTGCTGGTAGCGCTGGCGGTGTGCATTGTGGCTGGTGCTGACATCCTGCCCGTGTGCTGCGTCACGCAGGTCTCTCAGCCATGGTCCGTCTGTCGCTCCTGGCCCTGGGTGCCGGTCTGGCGGCCACCAACGCCGCCCACCTGTCCGCGTCTCCGTCTTCGAGCTCTGTCCTCTCTGCAGAGAGCAGTGGAACCGAACAGACCCTGCAGAGGAGCCACCAGGTCCGTCACGTGCTGGGCACTCGTCCCCTGCTGTCGCCGCCCTCGGTTGGCAAACGAGACGGCTCGTTCCACAGCTCAGAGTACAGTTCGCACGACTCCGGTCACGGCTCCGCGCAGAGCTACAGCCTCTCTGATCACGGCTCGGGAGGCTACACCGATGGCTACACCGGTGGCTACACCGGCTACACCAGCTACGCGACGGACGGCTACGGCTACACCGAGCCGTCGGCGTATGACAGCGGCGGCGGTTTTCTCGGCAACATCGGCAAGTACGGCCTCATCATCATCCCGATCCTGCTGGGCATCACGCTGCTGTTCCTGTTCCCGTCGGTCACCAACATTGCCGGCACGGGACGCAACAACCGGGCCAACGACGGACAAGGTAAGATGACTGATCGGGGGTGGGCACGAACGCCCAGACCGCTAGCCTTCAGTGACGTAAATAAGAATACCTGACAGCATGCAGTAGTTGATGAGGGCTGCAGGCTTATTATTGAAAAGAACTGTCCGTTAAAAAATGGCGAAGGCGAAGAGGCTGAGAGCCCGTGCGAGTCGACAGATTTTACCTCGCGGAAGATCCGAACGCAATTTGAGAAAGCAAACTCGTGATTGAACGCATCTGATGCCAGGGCCTGAGAAAATAAATTTGGATTTGTAAACGTAAGGCAATGTTTCTTTCCCTTTGCAATATTTGTGCTCCATGGTTTTCTTTGATCGTTGTCTCCTTACCCTGACGGTCGACTGGTTTCAGATGGGCCCTCGGATGACCTGCTCAGCCGAGCGATGGCCATCTACACCTCTGTCAGTGAGGATCCTCTGTGCGTGAACCGGCTCTTCTGCGAGATGGGCTCCACAGTGGGACGCACGTCATACGCCAACCAGACCCTCTCGTGAGTTTATTCAATGGTGTACTGTATATCGAATAAATGTATACGCAATAATTGTCGCATGTATGCGAAATGCATGTCCTCGCTAAACGGTTACTGACGGCTGCTATTGACTTCCCCAGGTTTTTCAACTTCTTCTTGTCACGCAAGAGCGACAACCTGCGGATTTTCAAGAAGGCAGCCTGGACTGAGGACCCTCAGTGTCACATGCTGACCTGCAAGGCTTGGGAGGATAACCCTCAGCTACTGCAGAAGACCGTTGAGAAGAACGAGGACGGGGTTTCAGAAAAGGACTCCGTTCTGCGCCAGCGGAAGATGTAGGATGGAGATGGGAGCCTGTCAGCACTCGCCGGCCAGTCATAAAGCAATGTGCCCGTAGAGACTGGCTACCGGGTGCAGCGGCCGTCAACCGCTCGTTTGTGAAGAAGGGGAGGAGCTCAAAAGGAATTTCAATCCGTGACAGCAGGCCCAAGAGTCTCGCTCGAAACCATAAATAATTTATTCACGACCAAAGGCTTTAACTGGGTACGTCAGCTTTAACCTAACGTATTTTATTCGTTTTCATTTAAGTGCCTACTTGGCTTGCATTCCTACATAGAGCTTTATTGAGTTTAAATTTACATAGATCATAATTTGATTTCGACATACAATTAGATTGAGACCTAATATTTTTTTGGAAAGCTATCTACATGCGTGTAGGTCGTAGAAATCATATTGTAAAAAGTTGCTAGTTTACTATGTAGAATGTGAATCGCTAATTTTGCTCGGGCAAGAATAACAACAAAATCATCAATGTTTCATAGACACGTCAATAATCATCTTTAATAATGGACCATTTTTTATTAGATGATCTTGCTTTTCAAAGCGCGCCAGAAAAATGTTAAATGTGATGCTGTGGAGTGATTTTTAATTCTTATAAGTTCGCAGTCGCTCGATATAGGCAGCAACTGCCACCGTATGTACATGCTGCTCTTATTCGTTATCATGCTACTGTCGCAGGTGCAGCAGTGTCAATTTCATATAATATTATTATAGTTTCACGTACACTGTAAACCAAATCTACAAGTTGGCTCCTTGTTACAAGTTTGGTTCCAATTCGCATAGGCGTCACCTTGTCGATTCACCAGCCCCAGGCTTGTTGGCTAACAAACTAACAGTTTGTCTACAAGTTTGGTTCCAATTCGCATAGGCGTCACCTTGTCGATTCACCAGCCCCAGGCTTGTTGGCCAACAAACTAACAGTTTGTCTACAAGTTTGGTTCCAATTCGCATAGGCGTCACCTTGTCGATTCACCAACCCCAGGCGTGTTGGCCAACAAACTAACAGTTTGTCTACAAGTTTGGTTCCAATTCGCATAGGCGTCACCTTGTTGAGTACTAGTCTGGGCCTTGTGAACCTACCAACTTCTGGATAGGCATAGCAGTTTCCTTGTCGGTTCAACAACCCCTGGTTTGTTGATGAACTAGCCTTTGACTGGGCATTGCTAGTTTACAAATTGTCAACAAGTAAGTGTACTAACGCTCAGTTCGAACTTGTTCTTCCTTACAATCGCTTTGTTTGCGTTGATAACCTTAAGAACTTACGATTCGCGTTCGTTTTCAATTGCCACGATACTGATTCAGGAAATATTTTCTATACGGACAGGTCATTTTTTGGCTGGAAGTGGTGCACAAAATCATGACTGGCATCAGTTATTGCTCAAAGGCTTGCGCTGACAAGAAACGAAATACTGATGGGTTATATAATCGATGAATGCATACACCACATCCATTCGGAAGTTTCTGGAATCATTAGTATTTATTACGGTCACGTACCTACATCACGTAGTATGTAATTAATACTATTGACTGGAGACAATTCCAAGTGCATATTTTCGAATGGATGTGGTAAATGCATGAGGTATAAGGTATACCTATCGTGCACCGTCAGCATATAAGTCTTTGAAGCAAGAACTGCTGCGTATGTGGAAGAACATGGTTTTGTGCATCGCATCAAGCCAGAAGTATAACATGCCCGTATGACGAATATTTCCACATTGACCATAACAATCATGGCAGTTGCACGATCACGCAGATAATTCGAATAAAGCATGAACGCCAACCAGATAAGCTTTTACAGCCCATATATGTCCATCAGTTAAGTTAAAAATACAAAGAGTTGAATTAAAGGCAAATAAATGTATTTATATATAAAAAACACCGACCGCAAAACATCTGCTCACATGTGCATGCAAAGGTCTGGCCCACTTACATTGCGCGCGCAGGGGAAGGGAGGCGTCTCGACCGCGGGTATAGGCACGATTAGTGCGTCCCGCAGGCCAGAGCGGGCCTCACTCACAGCACGAACACCACAGTTCACAGATTTCACTTTTTACTGCACAAATGCTGGAACAGCCCTCGTCGCTGATCCATGCTGCACGGCGGCCGCGCGACAACTGCTGGTTTGAACGGTTTGAAACCGCCGCGCCGGGGCCGGACGGCGACCGCTGATTGGTCCGCCAAGTCTGACGTCACGGGCGCAGCTGACCATGTGTATGCTGACCAGCTGACCAGTACAAGTTAGGCGCCGGTTAAATAACCATGCGGCAACAAGTTTCCAAAACTGGTTAAGAAACAAACGTTGAAACAAATGTAGAGTTGGTCTGGATACTGAGAAGTTGGTGTGCATAGTAACTATTGACTCGTAGTTGTCATCTGACAAGCAATGCACCAGACAACGGCTTGTTTGAAAAGTATCAGTTGGTAAACATACCAAGAGATGATTGGTTATATTACACAAGACTTGTCAATTTGGTTTACAGTGTAGTACAAGCAGCAAGCGGTCTGTAAAACAAAAGAAAGTCTGTCGAGACGCCTCTCGTCATCTCGTTGTCTCGTCGTTGCGTTCTGAATTATTTAATCTCGCAAGATGCAACACAACACATCAGTGCTTTGTAATTATCTTAGCTTGGTTTTAATAAACTACGCTTGGTAAAAAAGGAATATATGGTCATATGGCTCGAATATTCAAGGACCAAAAGCACTGTATCGCTGATCACTGAGATCAACCTTTCAGTTTTGTTTTCTTACGTGGGAGTACGAGTCACACAAGTTCAGTGTCAGTTTCATGTTCAACGCTGTTCAACGGTGAGAGTGCACGAGCTCGAGATTTCACCGCTTTGTAGTTTTCAAATTTGCAACAAAATGTTTGTTTTGAGGCCTGTTTCACTAAAAACTTGCGATTACAAGTGTTTGAACTTTACAATTCATAAGTATTTTTGCAAACTATGTAAAATCGGATTTCACTAAACTTCATCACCAGCGGCACCTCCGATAAAAAAAGTTTGCAAAAAAACTTGTAAACAGTAAAAATGTTTGTAATCAAGAACTACAGCATGTTACAGAAATTGCTTCTTTTTATCAAATTATGTCTAGTATTCATGTCAAAAAATGCATGAAAAAAATTATAAATAATGATGCTGTTTCTAAATGGTATAAATGATAGTTCACAATATTATATTATTGAAAGAAAATAGCACGCAAAACATTTGACAGCAGAAGACTGTTGAATGCAATTATGGCGCGCGAATGACAAAACATGACGATATTTATTTATTGCTCGTAGCTGGTTCGTAGGGATTGTGCTAAGTAAAAAAGAGCATATATTGACTCAGAATATCATATTTGTTTTAAATAATTGATTGCTTTGCATCATTGCACAAAAAGTAATAAAATTCCGAACGTAAGAGCCACTGGAATTTCGAGTTTGTAAGTACAACGTTTTCTTTCAAGTTTTTGGTCTTCGTGAAACAGAAAGTTTGCGATTTCGATGTTTCTTACCAACTTTTTTCTTGTAAAAAAGTTGGTAAATTTTAAACTCAAAATTCATGCTCGGAGGTTTCGTGAAATCCAAATTTCAAATGTTGGTAAATATTTCTTTTAAACTCAAGTTTTTTCTTTGTAATTACACACTTTATTTGTTAGTGAAACAGGCCTCTGTTTCCTTTTTGATTGTTTTGATTGTTTAGATTGTTTCCTGGTATTTCTGTTTACATTTCTTTTTTCCTTTACTTTATCAGTACACTCGAATGAATATGTCCTGTTTCAATGGCACTTATGATGCTATTTTATTCAGGCCCTGTGCCATTCATTGGATGGAGAAATGTATTCTCTCTGAAATGTGCTCGGTACAAGATATTTCTCGTCCTGTCAGCAATTTATTAGCTAAAATCAGGGTTTTTCCTATTAATTTATCTTGTGTCGACGATGACGGTTTTGTTGCCTGCGGTATTTTGTTCTTTGTTTTTTTATGCTGTATAATTTGGCTAAAAAGTATGTCAAAAAGACCATGAGAAATGAAGGCTCAAGCTGATGTTTAAATATATGTTCCATTAAATGAGTCGATCCTGGATATTTCTTTATGAATGCAAGCCCATGCGTTGTTCACGGTGATAATCAGACCAACACTCCGCACTCATATTTTCCTTGTTTCTCATAGTTGTATTACGTCAGCCACAGTAGCAAAACGTTTCCAGTTTCAAACTTAACAAGCGAACGTCCGTAACAAATAACAACACGGAAACTTTGTGCTTACACAACGGTATGTAAAACAAAAGCTCCTTCATGGGCAGGTGAGAATAACAACGGATCATGAAATGAGAAGAGGCATAGCTCTCAAGTTAGACTAAAAAAAAAGTTGAAGATGAGTTAAGACCTATACGAAAGAGAGTAATGGAGTGATTTCGCTGGTCACTCAGTATAACAGAAGGTTGCGTGGGAGGACACCATGTCAACCATATAGCAGCACTATAACCATCAACAAACTTTGTACATGAAATGATCAATGATCATCGTGAAACACCTAGTAAACATCGACAAGACATGGACAAACACAACAAGTAAAACACGTACAACACATAAAACACGTAACACAAAACAAATAACAAACAACAAGTAAAACAACACAAAATATGCACGTCAATGGACCACAAGTAGAGACGACGATGACGAAACATTTAACATGGACAAACCAGGGACAGGGCCACCTTCAAAAATACGACACAACATGTAACGACACATAACCTACAGCGTGACGGCACAGACAGCGGGACAAAACAAACACAAATTCACAAACAATACGAGCAACAGACAAAAGACAACGAGGAGCCCTTTGACAACGAACGAATAATTAACAAACAACATAAAAACAAACAACAAAAACAAGGACATTGATACAGCAAAAGAAGAATATTGACAAATACGAAGAAAACAAACAAAGTTAAGACTTTAACACAGCAATCGCACTGTGTCAGACGTCATTGACTATCAATACCAGCTAAGAAGTTATGACATCAATGGCAATGTGACTCTTCTTCATGACACAAATTTCATCCCTGGTTAGGTAGTAGAAAACGCGTATCACACCATCTTCTGATTGTTGCTCATTGAGGGTTATTGTACCTGAGACGCTCTTCTGGTCTTGTGTTTCCCCAGAAAGCGCATTCTCGCTGCTATCTGAAAGTAAGGAAAAAGGACATTAGCGATGTAGGTGTTGTTGTGAAACCACCTCCACAGTCATCATCAATCACCTTTTAGAAACCTGGCCCACATACGTGTTTCTCCTCTTCCTCATTTTTGTACAGCCGGCATCCATATTCCATAGTTCATGACCTAATCGCCCGCGTCACCAGTTCACAGTAATCAGTTGGTCGTATAATCAGCCCATCGTAATCAGTTGATTACAGGCGCGCCGGCGGCCCGGGCGCGGAGCGTCGGAACGCCGCAGGGGTCGGTATGGCCTCAGGGGGAGGCCGCTCGGCCGCCGCGCGCCGCCGCTCCAAGTGGGGCGAACGGGCACCGGCCGGCCGACCCGGGCACCCGACCTCGCGGAATGTCGGCCATCTCCCATCTCCTCGCCGTATTGGGTCACCCGGGCCGCGGGGTACGCAAATTGGTAGAGGCGAGAGAAAGAGAGAGAGAGAGAGAGAGAGAGAGAGAGAGAGAGAGAGAGAGGCGGACGGACAGACAGACGGAGAGACGGACAGACAGGCTGACAGAAAGACAGAGAGAGAGACGGATAGATAAGACGGACAGAGACGGTCAGAGGCAGATGGATAGACAGGAAGCCGTCTAACTGAACCCTATCGTTTCAACGAGGTGACCGCTGAGGCCATGTCCCATTCAGCACACCCACTCGTCCAATCTCCACCCTGCGACACTCACCTTTTACCACCTCTTGTTGATGGCGCGCATGGCCATGGCGGCCACCTGTCCGAGCTGCTCATGGTGCAGCAGCTGGTCCAGCTGCGCCGGCAGCAGGCTCGTCGCCAGCTTACGCGCGTTGTTGTCGTCGTCGTTGGCGATGGCGGCAGCGGCGGCCACCAGGAGGATGATGCCGATACCGACGAGCACAGCGATCAGAATGGGGCCGGCCAGATCCAGGCCGCCGGAGCCCTGCGGCGCGGAGGACAACGGTCGGTCAGAGAATGTGACTTGGTAACGGCCCCGGTCAGGGAAACTGATCCGGTAATGGCCGGGTCGGGGAATGTGACTTGGTAACGGCCCCGGTCAGGGAAACTGATCCGGTAATGGCCGGGTCGGGGAATGTGACTGGTAACGGCCCCGGTCAGGGAATGTGCTACCACGGTAACCCAAGGACTGTGATTCGGTAAGGTCCCCGGTCACCATGAATGCGACTCGCTAACGGCCCCGGTCAGGGAAATATGACTCATTTCAGGTCAAGGAAACTGACACGGCGGTAACGGCCCCGATCAGGGAATGCGACAAGACGGGCCCCGGTCAGGAACTGTGATATAATTTTGGGACGGCCAAAATTTCAGGTCAGAGTCGATCAGTAGTTTCAAGAAAAATCGATCACTAGTACTGATCGATATTATTCCTAATATCTATCGAAGACCGTTTCAGTATCAAATTTTAGTGTAGTCCTATTGGCTTGTTCCTCAAATGCATAGTTAACTTTACATTCGCCACACGGTGAAGAACTTAGACAAAACAATTTCTAATACATCTTCGGTGAATTCAGCGATCGAGTATTAAGATGTCTATGTTAATTCACATAATTAAACAGTTCTTAACTTAAAAACACCGCTAAACAAACTTTTCGGCTGGTTCAGCGTTAAAAGAAACGTAAAAAAGAACGTTAGGACGTTCCGTTTTTAACGGATAAGCCGTTCACAAAATGTGCGGCTCCCACTTCCCAGGTACACGCAGGCAACAGCTAACATGAGATCTAGTCCAGCTTCCCTCCTCCTCCCTATTTCCCACGTGTGTTCGTGCCGTGAGCACGCTGTGCCTTCCACCCTCCAGTCACGTGCACACGACTCGTGCTCTTCCACCGGGTCACGTGCACCTGTCACGTGTTGGGCCGTGCCCTGGACTCACCCCCTCGACCTGTCCCTTGTGCTCCTCCACCGGGTAGTAGTAGTAGTAGTAGCCAGTGCTGCCGGCCTGGCCGCTGGCGTGGTGGCTGCTGGCCGGGGCCGCGTAGCTAGTGGCTGCAGCCGCCTGGGTGGCGTGGCCCGAGGAGTGGCCCGAAGAGTGGCCGGAAGAGTGGCCGCTGCTGCCGATGGAAGAGTAGGAGCTGGTGGCCGGACCGTGGCTGCTGCCGTGGCTGCTGCCGTGGCCGCCAGAGCTGTGACCACCGGAGCCGTGGCCGCCCCCGTGACCGCCTCCGTGACCACCTCCGTGGCCGCCGTGGCCACCACCGTCACCCATCACAAGGCCACTGCAGGCCAGCACGGCCACGGCGAGGAACACCTTCATGGTTGCTGGCCTGAAAGACGAAAAAATAATTTTATCAGAGCGTGTTAGGCAATGCTATGAAAGCCGTGGCTTGGAACTGTTAAAAATAATCCCCAAGAAAAATTAAATCAGCATTCAAGCCATCTATGAGCTGTCGTGTACTTGACTCGGTGTGAAGAACAATTCACCACCACACCTGGGCCTCGTTTCATAAAGCGAGTCCGTAACTTACGCCGGTTTTTGGGCTTGTATTGCAAGCGCATGTGAAGCGATAAATTTATTTCCCCTTCTCCCTTCTGTTCTTGCTTGCAAGCTAAATAAATTCAACGATTCAAACTATCTTCATCGCTTCACATGCACTTGCAATACAAGACCAAAAACCGGCGTAAGTTACGGACTCGCTTCATGAAACGGGGCCCAGGACACAAGACAAATTCTGAAAAAGTCACTTGTGTGCTGCGAAGCGCCACACAGGACCACCGAAGCTGGAGGAGGACTCACTGAAGCGTCTGTGATCGGTTCCTCGCTCTGAACGACTGTCCCGCCGGCCGGGAATCGGTGATATTTCAGCTTGCCTCCGCCGAGGACCGCTATCGGTGATGTAATTTGGGCTGCGGGCGACGCCTGATGAGCCGGCTCGCCGACGCCGATTGGCTGGCCGGCCGCCCTCAGAACGGACACAGTGAAAAGATGCCGCCCCCGGCCGGCACGCAGTTTCTCCTTACTTTCCCCCTGAATGGCCCTGGTCGGTGGCACCTCGCAGGACCAGACCCAGCGGAAATCATCAGAGACTGCTGTGGCACATACCGCATGTACCGACATCTCCTTATATAAAGGTCAGGTAGCGCTTGAGTGTGTTATGAACAATAATTTGCTACTCAACAAAAGAGGAACCAATAGGAACCCATATAACATCTTTACAAACGACTTTGTCCACAATTTCCTTACCAGTCTGACGTTACACTACGACACAACGGGTAAGGGATCACCTCCATGATCACCTCACATCCATGAAGAGTGCACCGCTCCCCTCCCGAGTGTCTTTTGAGTGGGTGGATGACCTGTCCCACCGGAAAACTCCCGCCCGAACAGAATGGGCTCAGCTGTGCCTTATCCTCCCACACCAAGGTCGACAATTTTTCTCAGCGCACCGATAGGGTTCCTGATAAAACAAAGCTAAAAGTACCTAAATTTGCGTGAGCAAGGCCATTCCCAATCCCGTTTTCAGAATAACAGCTGCGCTGCCTATCATTCGTCCAAACGTTACTTAGAGGGTTAGAGAATATAAAGTCTGAGAAGTAAAAGCAGCAATGGCCAAAACAGAAACAAGCCGCACTTATCAGATTAATATGATGCATCACACTCCAATGCCTTGCGATGAGCTCGTCAATTGTAATGAAGCGGTTGCATTCTTCACGACCATGAATCTACGATCGAAGTCAACGGCCAGACAATTTTCAACAAACAAGGCTTCGTTATAATAAACTATAAGCACATCTTTTGCGACCCCGAGCTGAAGTTCATCGGCCTCAGCTCAGACTTCAACATAAACGGTTACAGTTTCCTACATATGTGGTGTGGAGCGTTCCACGACAACTTTCTACAGTTCCCACCAAATACCAATCAAACATGTGTGCCATCAGATCAAACCGGTTCGTGTGACTTTCGGCTTAAGAAATTAAATGTTTTCTTGGAAGCTATTTCAAGACAACACCAAGCGCTTGGTTGGGTGAAAATTAAATTGGTTCAAAATGCTTACTATTTAAAAAAAACCATGGAGTGCATATCCGAACTCGTCCGTTCGTGGCGAATGCAAGTTACTGTGAATGGGATTTTACACACGAGAAACTACATACAACCTGGAAAAGCAGAACAAATCCAATGAAAGTATCATATCACTGTTCATAGCATATATGTTCGATGTGCTTATAAGCCCATAAGTTTATCAGAACAGGTGATCCGTACACTTGACAGCTTGTCTCTTCCGTGACATCCGCGACATATACATTATACATATATCTCTTCCCGAGGCGATAATATTCGGGTGCAAGGAACGCTTATGAATCCGGCGAAACCTGGTCTGACCTGACGGCGACCTGAGCTCAGCTTTTGTCCAACGACTAGTAGTATATTGTTGCATCCTCTTACCTTCATTTATGCAAATTTCAGAGATGTCTCATCATATTTAATATCGTCTTGGCTGTTTATCGCCGGCTGACTAATTCTGCTTTCTTCCACAGTTCCTCTCGCTCCTGCTGACCCCAATTAATAGCTCCACCCAGTTACTATCCCGACGGAGGGCCCCGGTCGGGAGAGGCGGCCCACACGTCCCCGCCGGCCCGCAGTCCAGGATATGGGTCAGCTGGGAGTGGGGTGGACACAATATAGGAATGGATGGGGATAGGATCTCGCTCGGGTCTTGGCCTCAAAGTCAGTCTCTGATGGTCGCACAGGTCTGTCGGCTTATAAGGGTTTCTGGGAACTTGAAGGGGATCTATAGAATCGTCTGGTGAGCATGTTCATGTCAAACGGATCTTACGGAATCCACTGTGTCCAATTGCACCATGAGTGTTCCAAATGGATCCCGATGGATCTGTCAATCTCAACCCCCATCCGGAGTCCGTTGGTGTCTTCATAACTTACTGAAAGTTTAGCACATTATCCCTCTCTTAGCCAGAATGACATCAGGCTGATTATCTGATTAATATCAAATGGATGGATTAGGTACTGATAAACAATATACCGAGATGTTATTTGAGCTATTATCAGATTTTACCTAATGTAAACATACGAAATAAGTAAACTTCGTTATTCGGTCCCCATTCTGAAGGAAAAGATAAGAATAAAATACAAGTCAACGGCCCCTGACTGGCGTCATTCGGACCAGCAATGTCTGAAGAGATCAGCCTGATGTCGCCCTGTTGCCCGATGTCCGGCACGTGGAGCCGGAGGGATACGGCGGACATCGCCCTGGACAGCCCTCTGCTTCCGGCATAGAGTTTTATACAAGGTATATTATTAATCGTCTGACATGAGACACATGTGAGAAGAGACACGTGTGAGATGAGACACATGTATGTCTTAAAAAATGAGTTACTAGAAACTCTTGCCAGTGTCTGAATGCTGTCCAGAACCCATGATGCTCTATACACTAGTATCATGGCCTACCTACGCTTTCCTACCAAGTTTCTACTGTCCATCCTACCTGCCTAGCCTAATGCCTACTTTCATATCTTACTTGTGTTTTTTTCATCGGGATATTATAGTTATTTCCACCAGCTTACTATCTCTGTTACCCTATCTACATAATTAAGCAGGTGTGCATTTCTCTAAAAAGAAAATATAAACAAGCAACAGAGCCAATTGTGTTTTCGAAAACAGCATCCGATTCACTGTTCAATATTCAGTGTCAATTAAACAGTTAACATGAACTTTTAAACTAATTGATGACTTGATAACTAAGCAGTAGCTGGTTATCAATCGAGAGTACAGTGACTGACATAACTACCTACATAAGCCTAAAAGTAATTGCACGATGGTTTTAACTACATCATGTTGCCAAAATAGTCCAAGTTCATATAGAGGACGTTTCGAGGGTTCCCATAAAATGAAAACAAGTTACACTTTTAAACACAGCACTGCATGCACTGCATTTTTGCTTTGGTTATCATGGGAAGCGATAACAAATTGTACAAATTAACATAAATTTTGCAAAATAAGCCGTGATTTAATGAAAATTGTACGTAATAGAATAGATGCGTAATAGTTAATTATGCCTTGTTTTTCTCACTTGTAAAACTAACACACCATGGTCTAACAAGCTGACTAAATCAGAGCGCTCAAGCGATATCCATAATACACAAGTAACTTATTACTATAAGTAATAGCATTATAGACATGTAAATAAATCATACGATTAAGAACCAGGATCTAGTACACGTTACCCAAGTCCTTGTTTTATTGATATATAATTACGTAAATATTGCCTAAAAGCAACTTAACCGATTTCTCAGTCACATGATAAATGGCTATAATAACGAATATTCGACGATTTCTCTTAAAGAAAAAGGAACATGAAATGAGTTTAGTGAATAGGAGAGCGCATTGTGCACATACACTTTAAAAATAAAAAAACACCAACCTTATGCTCACCTTAATTAAATGTTTCATTCAAGTGAAAACACTTCACTAAGCACTCAAAATGGTCGCGACGTAGGAAAAGCAGCAATCAAAGAACAAAACTGAAAAACTTCGACGCATGACACTTGCTTACAACTTGTGTGTGTTTGCGAAATTGCGTGAAGGTAAAACCGCAAAAAGAACTACATCCGCGATCGCACTTACCAAACAAAAGAGATGTAAAACACCCACCATCGGCCAAATGTAATGCGTCGCAGTCTGATAAAACTGTAACAAGTTCCATATACCGAGAGAAGCTCCGTTCTTACATTTACTTATGCATATACTTCAGTCTATTATTGTCCTTTTGTGTCGTTTCTTGTATTGTTGTCTTTATTTCCTTGTACATATATTTCACATTGCATTGTGTAAGAAACTTTTTTATTATTATCAGGATCATAAGGATCGCAAGGATCATAAGGATTCATAATGTTACTGTTTTTAACAGTCAAAATAACAGTCACACTAAACTCATTGTCTTGTATCCAGTCATGTGTCTGTGCACCGAGCAGGCTCTGAAGTCGATGTCGTTGTAACCCGCTATCCCGTGTATCTCCTTAACAGATGACAAGTCAATAACATAACAAGACTGAAAAGTTCACTCATAAAACAAACCTACCAAGCATATCTCCCATTTCCTTCAGGCTTGCTGTTTGACACCCATCATTTTAATCCACAACTTGCGAATCGCAAACCACTTGTGAAACGTTAAATTGTCTCACCTGCAAGATCGGCGATAAAACGATCGGCTTTCAATATATCTGATAGTACCTACATCTGCAAATGCGATGAAACTAAAGCTCAAAATCGAGTCAGTTAATAAGTAAATATCTGAATGAGGTCAATCCCTATAAATCGACGCCTCAACTGTTTCAAGAATAAATCCTAAATTCGTAGTCGCTATTGTAATTCTTTTATGTGGCATGCTTACAATGTTTATTTGCATCGGATGTATGTTTTTATTTATTTCTCATTATTGATTCAGTTTCGTTTTTATATTCAACTTAATTGTTGTTAACAACACACCTATGAATAATGGAAGTAAAAAAGAAAAACAGTGCCAAAATGAAGATGCACCAATTGCAGGTGCCTACAGAGTTCATAGATGTCAATGATTGGCAGTTAAAGCCGTAGATAAACCTTTTACATGACAGAAGGATGTCTAATGACGTCAGAGAACATCACTTACCGATGCCTAACGAATTGCTGAAACACCTTGTTTATCGTGCCTAACGACCTAAATAGACGCCCCTAACTAACACCTAAAGACCTAAAGAGACAACATTGATTGGCATCTGATATGAAGAGGCACTTCTGAGTGACTCCGAACAGACAAGGAAAACACTTCTGACAGATACCTTACAAAATGTCTTACCTCTGCCTGACGCCTAGCAAAGTGAAGAGACACTTCTGAATGATGCCTGACAAACTGAAGAAGCGAAGACACTTCTGACAACTTACCTCAGGAGGCACATCCGTTATCGGATTGTGAGACCTTTTCAAGGCGCCCATTTACTCATGTAGATGGATGCAAAAAGACACTTATGGCGAGCGCCTGGCGAAATGAAGTGAAGACACCTCGGACAACTTACCTCAGGAGGCTAACTTACCCCGTTACCGGGTTGTGAGACCTATCCAAGGCACCGGATTGTGGAAACAAGCCTAAGGCGCCCACTCACTCATTTCTATCCATGTAAAGACACTTCTGAGGAGTGCCTGGCGAACTTAAGAAGTTAAGACCCCTCTGACTCATTACCTCTGGAGGCACATCCGTTATTGGGCTTTGAGACCTCGCCAATGCGCCGGCCTGGTATACCTACCAAGGCGCTACTACTTATGCCTAACGGTGTAAAGAGACACTTCTGGAGTGCCGAACGGACTGGAGAAGTGAAGAGACACCTACCTCTGACAACCGACGGACTTCAGAAACACGTCCGCTAGCAAGGTGTGAGACCTTACAACGAACAGGGATGGGCGAGCAAATAGGACTCGTGAATTTATCGAAGGAGTGAAAAGACGAAATAGTGTGGCATCAGCTTAACGCGAAGGACTGGTAGCCCAGCTTCCACCAAACCGGCTGGGACCGGCCTGTGAGGAACCAGCTGAGGGGTGGCCAGTCCCCCGGCGGCTCAACCAGCGAGGTGGTCCCAGCGGCGGCGGCGGCGGCGGCGAGCAGCTGAGCTGGAAAATGGGGAGAAAATAGCAAACAGGATACCCAGCGGAGCCAGCACTTACAAGAGGATGACCATTGGTCATTAGGGGGTGAATGCTTAGCCTTGATTTCTTAGATGCTGGATTTAAAACAGTTTTCCGCTCACGACGGTGTCCTAAGCAATGGCAGGCTCTGCTCCGCTCAGCTGAGCAGTCCAGTGATCCGG